GGGGGGATACTGGCAGTCCTTAAAAGTATATCTCTTTTTTATAAATCCAGTTAATAAGTGCTTGGAGATCTGTTAAATAAAAATTTAAAATTCAATAGCACTCTACAATCAAAAGCATATTAAAGCTGGACATGATGTTATATGCCTGTAATCATAGCAATTTATGGGGCTGAGGCAGGAGGATTCCAACTTCTAAGGCCAGCCTCAGCCACTTGGCAAGGCTCTATACAACTTAGTGAGATCCTGATTCAAAATAAAAAATAAATACAGCTGGGAATGTGGCTCAGGGGATAAGTGCTCCTGGAATCAATCCCTGGTATCAAACAAAACATAAACATGTTAAAAGTTACAGTTACCCTAAATCTGATCTGGATCAAAATTCATTATAAACTGATGTTCAGCAAAAATAATCTTTTCTTTTTAAATAGCTACTTTAAAAACAAAATTTGAATGTTTTGAACTATGCAAAAAGAGACCACTTGAATGTAACAACATTAAATTAAAATTAAAAAATGTTCATCATTCAGGCCTAGTTAACAAGCGAATAATAGAGGTACCAGAACCTGAAAAGAATGAATTACTTTTCCTATGGGTGTCTGAGAAGTAAATTGAGTTAGCATCAATGAATGCTTCGATATATGAACATTTTCTTTTCATGAATTTAGTAATGCCTGACATAACTCAATTTCAACAATTTGAATAAACATAAGCAAAAATGTTAAAATATTCTGTGGTGGATTGTATAACAATTTTGACCATAACAATTTAGGTATTTAAAAATCAAATCAGGAGGACCAACCCAGATGGCCTTCGGTAGATGAATGAATAGGGAAAATATATACACAATGGAATATTACTCAGAATTAAAAGAGAACAAAATCATGGAATTTGCAGGGTAAATGGATGGAGTTGGAGAATATTATGCTAAGTGCAGTAAGCCAATCCCAAAAAAGCCAAATGCTAAATGTTTTCTCTGATATGAGGATGCTGACTCATAATAGGGATGGTGGGGGGCATGGGAGAAATGGAGAAACTTTAGATACAGCAAAAGGGAGGGAGCGGAAGGGAGGGGGGATGGGGATAGGAAAGATGGTGGAATGAGATGGACATCATTACCCTAAGTACATGTATGAACACACACACACACACAAATGATAGCAATTGTAAATTATTTTTAAATAAATGACCATATACATGGAGGGGCTGAAGATATAGCTCAGTTGGTAGAGTGATTACCTCGCATGCACAAGGCCCTGGCCTGGGTTCAATCCAAAACACACACACACACACACACACCAGAAACTCAGCAAACGGCCATCACTACTAAATACCATGTAAGTTTAAACTTTACAATAATGTCTGGTGCCACAGGAAATCTAATGTCAGACAAAATGTAAAATGTGTGTTACTGCTGTGTATGAAGAGCAAAAAAGTGTCTCCTTTCCATTCACTACTTGATGTTATTAACCTAGGACCATCTGGTAGATAATCAGGAGGATGAACTCCACTATAAGCCACCAATTTTCACTCCTTGTAAATGGTCTCATAGATGAGATATTGTAAATAAATGCTGCCACCTTGTGGATGCTAGGTATAGTGTTGACACAAACAAGCAAAGGAAGATTGAAAAAGCAGCTTCTGGTTTTCTCTCAGATTCTCACTGTAGTAAGTGATCAACATGAGATATATTTCATGCAGTTTTATCGAAAGAATAATTACTTAGTCTATGAAATAATACAAATTCAATATTATCTTTTTCCATCCTTTTCCTGAAATAAATTCATTAAATTTTCTATTTTGAGAGGAATTAGAAATCTTTAAAATGAACTTATTATCAACACGTTTGACTATAAGAAACTAAAACAAAACCAAAACACTCTCTCTCTCTCTCTCTCTCTCTCTCTCTCTCTCACACACACACACACACACACACACACACAATGAAATCAGAAACTCAATAAATGGCCATCACTTTCAATGCCCCTTCACTTTTTTCGCTATATATCTTTTCTTGCTACCTTACCTACCAGTTTTCATCTGTCCTAACAAACCTTAAAAATTGGAATTTTTTCATTTAGGAATGTTAATATAGTTTAATTGAAATAAAAGAAGGGATGCTAGCATAAAAGATGAACCAATTCAAGGTATTCAAAGGAAAATAAAATGCAGGCTAGATTCAAAATAATCAGAGAAAGTAGTTTATATAACGAGATCTACTATGGTACATTTAGGCTTGGCTATAACTCACAAAATTATAGACAAGTGTATACGTATCACATCAATATTATAAAATAACTTGATAGTTAAACTACATTTCTGAGGCCTTTTATTAACATAAACATTCTTAGCTGTTGTTAAGAATTTAAGCAATAATGTTAATCTGTTGTTTTAAGCTAAATTGTTTCATAATTTCTTGTATTTCTTATCATACAGACATTAAAATAAATTGTGAGCTTTCCTGAATAAGCATCATGTCTGGCCTGTTTATGGTTATACATTTAGCTTAGTAGGTAGTCAATAATTTGTTGCTACTGAATTATGTAATTAAATGAAACCTATAATCTGCTGCATTTTCATATTTTGTTTAACCCAGTACTGAAGAAGAGCTCACACTGCCAAAATAAAAAAAAAATAAATGTCTGACTTTTGTCTTATTCATTACTGATTTAGTTAGCAACCAGTTAGCATGCATTAAAAGACTTCCTGCAAATATTCTTTTCAGAGAATGAATCTTCATACACATAAATATTTTAGTCCTACAAATGAAAAGCAAAGTTTCAGTAAACTGTACAAGTTAAAATGAGTCAGGTCTGAGGATGTAGATCAGTCACAGGTCCAGCACCAAAAACACAAACAACTTGTCAAATTCCTGATCTATCTCAAAAACATCTCTTCAAGATTAATTCAACCTAGTAAATTTGATGTGGATGAGCAATTTGAAGAAACCAAGGGATTACTGCTTTGTCTTAAGATGTGATTAGCCTTGTAATTTTACAATGTCCATTATTTTAAGAAATGGAGATTATAAATGAAATGATGTAGCATCTGAGATTTGCTTTAAAAAACTTAAGAAAATAAAAATAAAATGAACACATGAAGCAAGTATAATGAACACCCCCACACAGAAAAATAAGTTTTATTCAAGGGATGGGGTGGGAAACTCTCTTCTGGAGAGAATGGGGTTCAGCACTAGTGCCCCAAGTATAATAAAATCTTACTGCTGAATTTGAGTGATGTGATATGAGGAATTATTATTCCATCCCTCCATTTTTATGTGTAATAGAAATTTGAATTAAGAAACTTAAAAAGAATAATCAGCAAGATGATGATGAAAATAACAAAGTATAAATCAATAACAAAGTTACTGGAAAATCCCAGTATTTGAAAACTAAAAATATATCTCAGCAATTCATGGGTCAAAAACAAATAATAAAAATGGAAATTAAAGAGTATTTTGATATACACTTTGCAATGTCATGCCATATATGAAAAAAATATATAATTTTATCAAATTTTAAATATAAAATTAAAGCTGGATACAGTGATGCCTGTAATCCTGGTGGCTTGAGAGACCAAGAGAGGAGGATCGAAAGTTCAAAGCCAGTCTTAGAAACTTATAGAGGCCCTAAGCAACTCAGCAAGACCCTGTCTCAAAATGAAAAATAAAAAAGTACTGGGGATGTGGCTCAGTGGTTAAGTGCCCCTGGGTTCAATCTCCAGTACCAAAAAATATAAATAAATAAAATTAAAAACAGCCAGGTACTGTGGCCACGCCTATAATTCCAGTGATTCAGGAGGCCAAAGCAGGAAGATTCCAAATTCAAGGCCAGTCTCTCAGCAAAGTAGTGAGACACTGATTCAAAATAAAAAATGGGAATGTAGCTCAGTGGTAAACTGCCCCTGGGTTAAATCTCCAGTACTCCTCTCAGCCGCCCCCCAAATTTTAAAAACAACAAAAAATAAACTTAGGAATATTTCTAGCACAAAAGTTCTATGTTAGAAAATAAACTGTCAGCTCAATGATCTCCGTTTCTACCTTAAGAAATTAGCAAAACAAAGAACAAATTAAAAGCCTAAGAAATAATAACAAAAATCCATGAAAACAGATATATACAATATTAAAACTAAGAGTTGTCTCAATAAAAATGATAAACATTTAAGCCAGACTGCTTGGGAAAATTGTGAAAGTGTCAGAGATAAGAGAGGGACCATTATCATAGACTCTAAAGCTATTAAAGGAACAACAAGGGAATACTATAAAAAACTATATGCCAATAAATTCAACAACCCAGATGACAGGAACACATTTTTTAAAAGACAAAAACTAATAATAATGTTCAAGTCAGAAGAAAAGAATAACCTGAATAGATCAAAACTCTTAAGGAAGTTCAATTTGTCAATAAAAAATGTTCCTTGGAAAGTGTCACTGGAGAATTCTACAAAATATTTAAGAAAGAAATAATACCAATTCTATACAAAATTCCAGAAAATTAAAGTGGGAGCACTCATGAGGAGGACATATTCTGTCATCAAAACCAGATGTGGGCTGGTGCACACCTATAATCCTAGTGGCTTGGGAGGCTAAGACGTGAGGATGGTGAGAGTTCAACACCAACCTCAACAAAAAGTGCGGCGCTCAGCAACTCAGTGAGACACTGTCTCTAAATAAAATACAAAAGAGGGCTGGGGATATGAATCAGTGATTGAGTGCCCCTAAGTTCAATCCCTGGTACCCCCCAAAACAAACAAACAAACAAACAAGGATTGTAAGAAAGGAAACAGCGACCTTATAAAATGTATGATATTAATCTTTTCATCTTAGAGATGATAAAATTTAACAACGAAGAGTTTTATAAACTTGCCTATGATTACAATACTAATAACTGACAGCAACATAACTTCAGAACCTAGGATTTTAACGATATAACTGCTTATCAAATTCAACTAGATTCTAGATATTTTTATCAAAGAAAATAGTAAGGACAGTGCTCAATACTTACCTAGAGACTATGCTGGAACCATTATAGAGATCACTAGCATATGACAATGTGGCCAAAGGTCGTACTGAATTATATCGGGTAAATTTAGACAAGCATTCCTGAAATTCATCCAACTGGCTTGCAGTTCGACTGTCGTCTATAGAAAGAAAACAAAACAGATGAATTCCACTACAAAGTAAGAATAATATACATAGATTAAAAATTATATTATAAGTACAAAAAATCATTTTAAAAGACTTTAGAGAAGATCAATATGTTCAAATTAATTAGACGATCTTTCAACTTTAATAGAAAATATCTCAGTAGTTCTTTGAAAGACACTTTTTCTACATCAATAGGAAYAACAGTGATACTCTTTCCTCTTTTTAGTAAAAACTTCTTTGGAAAAAAAAAACATTGAAAGAACTACTACTTAAGAAAAGTTAAATAATTTATTAGAACAAAATCCTTTATCAATAAAGATAGCTTAGGAAGAGAATTATACATATGGACAGAGTATTTGTTTAAAGGAACATGTTCACAGGGATATATATTTATGCCAAAGTTTCTCTATTTTCAAAACAAAGTTTATAACACATTTTAGATAAAAAATAGTTTTTAAATAAAACATGTTTTGTTCATGTAATACTTTCAGGTGCTTCAAATCCTATTACTGAAAGGAAGTAGAAAGCTGCAATATATAAACTACTGATTCTCAAAAACAAAACATGTTTGAAGTGGCTCCCATTTATCCCAAAGAGTAACTTCAACCAGAAAAAATAGTTTCATTCAAATGTTTTGGTAGAATATGGAAAACAGCAATTCCATCCAATGGATCACTATTCAATACTTTGGGTAAAGGCCACTTCAGTAAACTATTGAAAGCTAAAATCATGTGGGTTTTAACTTATAAAATCAGCTTATAAAGTACCTGACAATACAACTAATCTATTCTTCAATTTAGAAGAAGGCCTAGCAAAAGCACAAATTTTAAAGCTCTTTTTTTTTTTTTTCCAAAAGTGCTTGAAACCTGGACTAATTCTCTTTTCCAAAGAAGGAAGGGAGGTGGGGGGACCATGACTTTAAGCTTCCTAGATTGAAAATTTGAAATAAGTTTGTTTTAACATTTGTCTTTTCATAGTTTCTTCCTTATTTGATACTTATACCCTCACATACACACAGCTTTTTCAGGGTACACTTTCATGTTTTTCCTTCTTAAATGCCACCTAAATGGTGGACATAATAAAATTAAAACACAAGAATAATTAATTAAAAACAGTTGTGTGAATATGATACAGAGTAAAGAATTTATTATTTTGTCTGGAATATTAGGTTATCTTGAAGAAAATTTATTGACATAAAGAAATTTAAAAATTATAATAAAGAAAAATAAGTAACAATTAMTTGAGGATTTTGTCCCTGGTATTTTATAAATTTTAAACACTAAGCAAATCCATGTAACAATTTAGATTAAAAGGGTCCAATTTAATGTAGTTTTTATTCTAAACACAAGAAAAGGAATAACCTAATTAGTATGTGATGTTGTAATGGTATTAACATAAAGCTCTGGCTCCACAAAAATTATTCTTGGTAAATTCAATAAATTATAAATTACTGAGGAAAACAAAACAAAACAAAATTATCAACTCTAATCCAGAGTGGTTAAGATGTAATAGTTATGTGATATTTTTTATATGCAATCCTAGTACTGAGTTGTTCAGTGTAATAAGCAATGGAGAGTTTCTTTATTCTTTTAAAAATTGTTTTAATATTGACCTATTCTTTCACATTTTGACATCAATTTCAAATCATATAAATTACAAGAATTCAAGAATATGTATTCTGTTGAAGAACACATCCTTTTCTAGGGTAAATGGACTTCTGGCTACTATCTAAGCTCATTAATATCAACAACCTCAGAAACTATTAGATGACAATGAAACTAGTTACTTCAATATCTGAAAATATAGTAACTCGTGTTTAATTTATCTGATTATGAAAAGGTAGAATTTTGTTTGCTTGGTTATTTTATGATAAATATCCATATATATCTGCTGGCCAATCTCCTCTCCTAATAATAGATTAGTTTGTAAAAGTATATACTATGTCTATTTTCTTTCTCCTAATGCTTTTTAGTTTACATCCTCTTTCAATTACAATTAAGGGTCTAAGACATTAATTTCTTAATATTCACCACTTATTTTCAAAAACTGAAAATAAAAGTTGAGTTGTGGGCAGATTTGAGGATTGTCCTCTGAAAATACACAAGGATAATCAGTCTCTTACGTGCTCCACTATGTAAAAGTTAAAAATTCCCTCTTTGTTACCAAAGGAATTAAAAGGTATTTCATATAATCATGGTAGCCAATGTGCAAATCTAATAAGATATACTTGAGATTCCTCATGCTTTAAGTACAATATAGGCCAGATCACACAAATAATTATCTAATTTTCCTTCTTATTTTAATTATTTATTCTAACCTCYTAAAACACTATACCCCAAAATACACAGAATCTAGTGAATACMTTTACTACTCCATAGCATATCTGCRTTGCCAATGACTTAAAGATTACTGATACTTACCCAAAGCTTTTTCTCTCATCTCTCTTTCAAAACTTTTTAATGTCTGCCGCTAGTCCTACTACATAACACCAGTTAACGTTTGACTCTCTGCCAATCAGAATACGGGACTTAGCCCACTTTTAATTTAACAGCTTCCTAATGTAGCTTATATTTATACACTATTTTAGACACCCAAGAAAGAACTCAACTCCCAGATAGTAAATGCCAGCTTTCTATCTACACAAAATGTTTATGATTAATTTCAAACATGTTAAGCAAACGAATCTTGGCTTCCCCTTAAACTTCCTAGGAAAAATTCTGTGTAATTTCCATCACCAATCCCAAATTTGTTCGAAGAACTTAAGTAATGTATGGGTTATAACATGAAGCATGTTTACTCATGAGAAAAGCAAGATCTACTTTTTAACAACCAATAATGTATCTATCAGACATTTATTTTGCTTACTGGTCTTCATTTAGCAGAAGTATACTACTAATGGCATCAAATATTTGAGCACACAACAAGTACTGAGCATTGTGTTTTGTATATATTACCTATAACCCTTAAAATGTTTATTATGAGTTTGATATTAATGTCCCTACTTCAGTGATGAGCAAAATGCTAAAAAATGCTGAAGAACAGAGAACAGGGAACTTTATTACTTCTCTAAAGCAATAAAAATATCCTAAGCTATTGTACTCATGTCTTTCATGTTATTTCCTCTACTTTGAATGTTTCTAATTTCCTTTTTCAATTCATACAGCCTGTCCCAAATATAATTCCTCCAAAATCCCTGCACAGAGCATTTCTTTACATCTCTTCATTCTCAATATGGTATGAAATTTTCACTCCCAGTTGTATTACTGGATATTCTCTTCTGTTCTCCTAACACCCTTTGCATATTTATATGTCACACAATTTCACATAGTATCATTACTTACCTGTTGCTTTCTTATGCTGTATTTACAACACCCCATCACAATAAGAACCAGTTCTTTTACATTTTTATTCTTAGCACAGAAGTCAGTACTTAGAAATATAATTAACGCCGAGTAAGAGGCAACTGAATGGAAATTATTTTTGCTAGTTACATGGTTATGGCTTTACATAGCTTTATAACTTAATATTAAGATTAAAAATTCCAAACAGACAAAAAATTGCCATTGGAAAACAACATTCTCCAAGACCCCTAAGAACTCCAGAGTATTCAGAAAAGACTGTGTCAAATATATTTTTCTTTGCAACTATGACTTCCTATAAATTCTGCATAAATCTCTAGAAACAGACCTGAAACATATATTTGCTATTTTATAAAACAATTCTTAAATGTACCTGAGATACGAGACATCCTTGTAGAAAAATAACATTGCTCTAAGTCTTCAAAATGAGCAGTGAGTCGTTTTCGTCTTGATGCTAATGTGCTGTTATACCAAGGTTGTTTCTTTGTCTAAGGTAATGAGAAAAGAGACCTGTAACTCAGAACACACCACACCACACTCTTCTTTAACAAAGAATACCTAAATGCTTAGAGATTTACTTTCAAAAGTACATCAAAATAAAATGATATCAAATGGCGAAAACCTACATAATCCTCAGATCATGTTTTCCAAATTTTCTTTTAAAGTGAAAGCAAGAAACAAATCCACTGAGAATAACCAGAACAGAACAAAAATTTAAAATAAGCTCTAAACACTAGTTTTATGAAGTTAAATGGAGAAACATCTCTCAATTCTTCAAATTAAATGAAGATAGAATACATTATAATGCCATTATGAAACATAAAATTAGGGGACTTTTAATATCCAGAAATTGTTAGAAAACAATTATCAAATAGAAAGATAAATACTTCTTCATCATCCCTATATTATAGCCTTTTACCCTTTGAATTATAAAACAGTTTTGACTTTAGGAAAGATCTAAGAATAATACTGATAAGTTTGACAAATGTAAGATCACACTGAGATTCCATTTTACTTCACTCAGAATGGTAATTATCAAGAATACAAGTAACAAAAAATGTTGGCAAGGATGTGTGTGTGGGGGGGACAGGTACACTTATAAACTACTGGTGGGAATGCAAATTGATACAACCACTCTGGAAAGTGGTATGGAGATTCCTCAAAAAATAAGGAATGGAAGCACCATTTGACTCACTATCTCACTGCTCAGCATATATCCAAAAGACTTAAAATTATATACTATAGTAATGCAGCCACATCCATGTTTATAACAGTTCAATTCACAATAGCTTAGCTATGGAACCAGCCTAGGTGCCCTTCAACACATGAATGAATAAAGAAATTGTGGTATATATACAATAGATTATTACTCAGCCATAAAGAAGAATGACTTTACAACATTTGTCAGTAAATGAATGGATCTGGAGATATCATGTTAATAAGCCAATCCCCCAAAACCAAAGGTTGAATTTTTTGCCGATATGTGGAAGCTAAATCACAATACAGGGAGGGAGAAGAAGAGAAGGTAATGAGAGTAGAATGAATCGAACATTAGTTTCCTATGTTCATATATAAATACATGACCAGTGTAACTCCACATCACGTACAACCACAAGAATGGAACCTAATTAGAATAAGTTAAACTCCATGTATGTATAGTACATCAAAATACACTGTCATGTATATAAAAAAGGGTTTGAAAAATGAATCAGAATACTAAAATCAGATACAAAGACAACAAAGTTGAAATATGTGGAATATAAGCCCTATAAAAACAAAGGTTTCTATAGGAATGGTGACACATGCCTATAATCTCAGTTATTTGGGAGGCTTAAACAGAAGGATCGTAAGTTCAAGACTAGCTAGCCTGAGCAATTTAGCAAGATCTACTCTCAAAATTTTAAAAAATGGCTGGGGATATAGCTTAGTAGAAGAATATTTGCTTAGTACATGTGAGGCTCTAAATTCAATCCCAGTACCATGAAAAACAAACAACAAAAACAAAGGTCCATGATCCTAAATGTACATCCCATGCTGCATGTCTTCAATGGTCATCTATCATTCTAATGGCATATCAGAAGATACAGACGTTAAGAAACATAGTAAGATCCTGAGACGACACAAATTCACCAACAACTTACTAGTATCATGCCAAATGTATAAAGTAAGATGTACCAGGGCACTACATTAAACACTCTAGTGCAAAGTCACTCTAAATCAATGAAATGGGAAGAATTCTATTTTAAAATACTGCCTGACTCACAATAAAAGATAAACTTCCACTCAGATAATCAAGAAGTTGAATTCAAGAGAATTGATGGTAAACAAAATATAACAAAGGCACAGGGTACGTAGAAAAGAAAGGCAACCGTTATTTAGGGACAAATATCAACAAAAATTTTTTCATAGAGTACAGACATTTTCATTTCTGAAAATATTTTCATGAAATTGCCATGGGTGCATTAAAATAGATGGAAACCACAGTCTAGAGCTTAAACGTATATTAATAAAACAATTGTTACATTATAATCATATTCTAAAATTATATTACATACTACATTTAAGTTTTTAATAGGCATTCCAAATCTGGGATTCTGGGACAAAATGAGTTAAAGAAATATTTTAAGAGTTGATGGTTGAGAATTTTCCAGAATTGAAAATGAACACAAATTCAGACACAGTAATTATTCCTGTCAACCAGGATAATCTTTTAAAATCCACAATTAGACACACTAAGGTAAAACTGTGTTTTTGTTCAAGTGCAGAAATAAGATCGTAAAATCAGATAAACAGTAAAGATAACAGGAACAAGAAACAAAATATTTTTCAATAGCAATCACTGATGTTATTAACACAGTAAATCTGTATTACTTCAAAAAGGAGAGAAAATAGCTCCAACTTAAAACCCAGAACCTAACAAAACTATCCTGCAGCAATGTAAAGAAAGCATATTTTCATGTGAATGAAAACAAATCTATTACCAATTGAGTTCTTTCTAAAACAATTTCTGGAATTGTACACTTGAAAACTATTAATAACACAAACCCGAAGGACTAAAATACAAAATTAAAAAGACAAGGAAACTAGCAACAAAATAAGTGGTTCAAAATAGTTTTTTATTATAATATCTAATTTTATACGGTTTAAAAATATGACAAAAAATAACCAAAGAATAACATATATGTCAGAGAGGATTGATAAAAGTTTGTATTCTAGAGCTTACATATTTCAGGAAAATAATTGAGACCCTAAGTATTGAAATAAGTGTAAATAAATTTCAAAGACACTACTGAAAATGAGATAAGATTTGGGGTATACAGAAAAAGCAAAATACATGGAGTCTCAATAGAGAAGGACCCATAAATGCCTATGAACCACTGGAAGCAAACAACCAACGCCTGAGAAACCCCCTCCCCCTCCTTGGCCCTTGTTGTCAAAAAAACTCAACATGATGTGAAGCAATGCACAAGCAGAGGGAAAACTGGTGTGAAACTGTATAACTCCGCCCTGACTCCCCAGATGAGAGGGACCTCAACTCAGGATGAGTAGAGTTCTTGGCTAACACTGCAGAAATGAATTTAAGGACATGACAGAGGCACAGACCAATTTATTTAGGACAGCAGAGATACATTTAGGGCAGARTATGGGCCATTTTAAGAGCAAGAAGCTACAACCCTTTGGTATGTGATGTCAGGGACCGGAGCTAAGGCTTAAACTAGCACGGGGAGTTTACATTGTTTTTAGATAGGTAAAGCTATGCTCATTTCATACAAGATAAAACATGAATGGTCAATAAATGTAAGAAAAGGTACTGGTCTTACAATAACAGAAAAATATGAATTTAAACCATAACCATATTCCATTTATCATTAAAGTGAAAGACATTTACAAGTTCAACAGTATTAATCATTGGCAAGAATGTGGAGAAACTGGAACTCATATGCCCATATGATGGGAGTTTTAAACTGATAAAACACATTGAGGGGCTGGGGTTGTGGCTCAGTGGTAGAGCACTTGCCTCACACCTGTGGGGCACTGGGTTCCATCTTCAGCACCACATAAAAAATAAATAAATAAACAAAATAAAGGTATTAAAAAAACATTCTCTAAAAAAAAAACACATTGAAAAATACTTTGATATTAACTCAAAATACAAATTTTTATACCCAATGACTCTCATTTCCTCTCCTAAATACACAATCTAGAGAAACTCTTGCAGCACTGTTTATTAGAAAATGCATACAATTAAATCTTTAATAGCGAAACACTAGAAACCTATCAAATGTACCTGGATTTGGTGATTGATAAACTGTAGCATAACAACACAATGGAAGGTTATACAGCAGTGAAAATGAACCAAACATAGCTACAGATATCAGGAATGAATTTCTGAAAATGGCTTACAAAAATATCATTTTTAGAAATTCAAATACAGCCAAACAAATAAAACAGTGAGTGCTGTGATTTTTAAAAAACTCAACATGTTGATGTACACGAATATCAGAAAAGTGTTCACCTCTGGACAGACTACAGGGTAATAGAATTTATTAGCAAAACATGGGTGACTTCTACAGTTTAATATTCTAGTAATTAACATAATTTATTTCATTTAAAAATTTGTTTTATTATACTTATATCTCTTAACTTCAATATTCATGAATATATTCTTCTGTATATATCAACTTTTTTTTTTACAAATTCTAGGAGAAAAAAAAGTAATTTTTTTAAAAAAAGTGATCAGTTCAATGTAAAAACAAAAATTTACAGCTTAAAAGATGAGAAAAATAATAATAAATATCAGAAATACAACACATAAAATCAACAAGAACTGGTCAACAACATTGTTTTACTTGACTTTCCGGTTTTTACGACAAATTCATCTTCACAATTATTTTGTCAATATTTATACTTAGCTTTTCTTGGACTTATTAAAAAACCTAGTGCAATTCCTTTCTAATCCATTCATAATTAGATTGCTTCAAAATTGTTGATAAATATTCAATGCTAAGCTAATTTTCACACATCATTCAAAAATTCACAAATAACAGGAGAGGGAGCATGGGAGGAATAGACAAACTCTAGATAGGACAGAGGGGTGGGAGGGGAAGGGAGAGGGCAGGGGGTTAGAAATGGGGTTAGCAATGATGGTGGAATGTGATAAACATAATTATCCAAAGTACATGTATGAAGACATGAATTGGCATGAATATACTTTGTATACAACCAGAAATATGAAAAACTGTGCTCTATATGTGTAATATGAATAGTAATACATTCCTTGTCGTATAATTTTTTTTTTTTTTTAAATCAGACCAGGCTCTCCAGGAATTAAGGTCTTTGATGACTGAATACTGGCAATTAGTCATTTCCTAGGCTTTAGCTTTTACTCCTGGAACATCAGCCTCGATAGAAAGGAAGAATTTAGTAACTTGGAGTAAGTTAATTCTGTTGTATTGTGGGTAACACAAAGATTGTGGACATGCAAGTT